CACTGGACACTCCCTGACTCTCACTTTCCTGGAGGATAGTGTTGACTGACTCATCCCTGAGCTCAGGTGCGTAAACCATACCCTCTACTTGGTTCAGTCTGTCGGCTGGCTGAACTTTGATTGGTAGTCCATCAAAGCAGGTCCATCCCATGAGCTGTTCAGTCTGGCCAAGGTGCTCAGTTTTTATGAGTAGAGCCCCACTCCGGATAGCAGAGACCTCGATGGTAGTCACCGAGGAACCGAGCAGTGCCCTTAGGTGGTCCCTGATCTTATATGGGCTAACATGCCGGAAACTTTTGGGGTTTGGTCCCTCAAAACGGGCTAGAAGGAAGGCAGCCCCTCTTGGAACCAGGTGGCCCTCTACAGCAGCCGAAGTTGCACCAACTCTGTTCTGGGGTGGCATCTTCAGTTGCCCGCAGCAATGAGAACGCACGTGATCAGCTGACCACTGAACAAAGCAACCGCGCGAAAGGCGCGAGGATTCCCGCCAAAATGGATGAGACGGGGATGATTTGGTGACCGATAAAAATAGCAACGATGTGAAGCGGAAATGGTAGGCGCGAGGATTCCCGCCAAAATGGATGAGACGGGTATGATTTGGTGACCGATAAAAATAGCAACGACGTGAAGCGGAAACAAAGCAACTGCGCGGAAGGCGCGAGGATTCCCGCCAAAATGGATGCGACGGGGATGATTTGGAGACCGATAAAAATAGCAACGATGTTAAGCTGGAATGGTAATCAGAAAGTAGAAAATGTTAGCAGCACCCTCACAGACAGGAAAATTGCGAGGAAAAATGCGAGAGGAACAATAAACACTCACCGGAATCCTAGGCTTCGAAGTCACGGAATTAGGCCAAAAGACGAGACGAAAACGGAGATGAAGAGGGAAGGAATTTCCAGTCGATTGCCGAGATAAGAATGGAATGCGTATGAAGTGGAGACAAAGAAAGTCTATACGGACAAAGACTGACAATTGCAAGAAAACGTGACAAGCGTTCTAAGATATTCCTAGATCGGGAACGATCTCTACCGTGGCAGACGCCAAGACGGAATGAAATTCAATTCAATTTACTGGGCTCTGGTATTAACTGGATAATTCGCCAGCTGACGCCGTATGGTGGCGCTAGTGGAGCAGCACCATATGACGTCAGCAGAAAACACCGTGAGCAGCTATGAAATGGGAGCGAGCACCACGGAAATATCGAAAGGTGATGGACATGTACTGACGTTGGTCATTCAAGTACCACCAACACCATACAAAAACCATATAATATCATCAAGACTGATTGTGGAATCGATTGCTTTGGGTATTTAAAACACATAAAAAATATTTGTAACCCAATTCTGAAACAGTGTAAGGATATTCTTCTTTCTTACTTTTACCTTGTGGAGTACTTTTACTTGCTTTCTAGTGTGCCCATCACTATCTTGAAATCTGGATTGCAGCGCTGTAGGAAAACTTTTTTTTCATTTGTCATTTCTTCCTATTTTGAGCAGTGATAATTTATTTGGTTTTATACATTAAATAATGAAGACGGCTCCTAACTTTTTAGGGATCTGCATTGGCCCAGAGAGCAAAATCAGATATTTTCTAGAAACTTGAGGCCACTATTTTCTTATATGCTAGATAATATACTAATATTGACATGTAAAGAATGATACGGGTGTATAATTCTGCAGAAATATAAATTCAAAGTTTTTAAATTTTTCAAGAACCTTTTTAAAATCTTCCATAATGACTTCTTTCAATACAAGGTGGAAGCAATTTCAGTTAACAATAAAGCAGCACAAGGCAGTACCTTGAGCTGCGATGATCCATAACCAATCGGCACCTGCAATTTGATTGATCTTCGAGATGTAACCTGCCTCTGTTCCCTGACTTTCCCTTTTCGTTGTACCGGGTGAAGTGAATATTCTGTGAATATTCTTCTGACAGTCAGTTTTTAGTCCTACATTATGTTGTCAATCAGATTTAATTGGTTCAAAAACCGTCGTAGTCCGTCTCATTCGCAGTCTACATCTCCACATGCGCACCCATACATGCTCAAAATTTTCACTACGTATGTACTATGTACCCTGCAGCGTATCCTGATGAAAAATGTTTTGTTGAAATCAGAGACACTTCCCAAGGTAGGCCATAGTCCATGGCCATATATTTAAGTCAAAACAGATGAAACAGGTAAACACAATTCCAATCATCAAGTCAACCAGCATCGACAATCTGCACATAAGTTCTAAACCTATTGCAAGACTACTTTGTATTCAAACTTTGTATTGCAGAAGGGTGGAAGCTGCATGGAATTATGCGACAATTTCAGCGTGCATCCACGCTCGAAAGAGCAGGGTTAATTGTAACAATGTCAATACCATAACAATAACGTAATTGTAGGTGTTGTGATTCGGTTGTCTCTTGTCTGTGCTGGCCATTGCGCGGGTGTCCAGCGGCGGAACTCGGCTTCGCCGCCGTGGCGCGCTGGCAGTTGCTTCTTCTTCTTCTTCTTCTGCATCCCACCGCCAACCCGCTCAGGGGGGCGGCGGCGCAGGCGGGTCGAGCGGCGGCTCGGTCCGCCCAACATCCTCGATGAAGGTGACGACCTTCGTCGCCGGGCCGCCGGGGACGTCGACCAGGCGAGGGTCGACACCCCAGCGGCGGCGGCGGGCCGCCTCATAGGCCGGACAATCGGTCAGTAGGTGCGCCGCGCTGTCGGGCTCCCCGCACGCGGGGCATTCGTCGTCGACTTCCGGGCCAATCTTGTGGAGCGTATCACGGGTCAGCGGTGATGTGCCGGTCCTCAGCTGGGACAGCGTCACCGACCCCCAGCGCGCCAGGGAGTCGTGACCAGGCGTGGGGTCCGGGTGCGGGTGGGCAGCGGTTGCCCTCTGTCGCGACAGCTCCCGGACATGGCGCATGACGGCGGCCCGCGCACTCGACAGGTCGATCGGTGCGCTGTCTTGGTCGCCCGCCGTGGCCTCGCCAGCCAGGCGGTCGGCGGTTTCGTTGCCGTCCAGCCCGGCATAGCCTGGCACCCACTGGAGCACCGTCTCGGTGCCGTTCTCGGCGAGGGTGCTCAGCACTCAGCAGCCTCCACACCTCGGCGGCCAGGGCCATGGTCTAGTTAGCTGGGCCGCGGCCGAGTAGTTGGAGCCCAGACCTTGAGTCGGTGAGGTGAGGAGGCGGACCGACTTGGTCGATGCCAACTCCCCGTCCTCCAGGCCGGCCACAGCCGCGAACGCCTCGCGCATGGCGGTCAGTTCTGCTCTTAGGCTGGAGCAGACCGCCCCTGCAGGAGCGCGCACGGTCTCTTCTCTGTTGAGGTGGTGGAACTGGATCAGCGCCTGCGCCGCCCTGTTCCGTCCGCCGCGAGCCGAGCCGTCCGACCAGATAGTGACGTCCGGGTGCGGGAGCTCTGCAATGGCTCGCAGGGCAGCTTCCCTGCAGACTGCAGGCGGGTCCGACCGGCGGGTGGCCATGGGCAGGTCCACCCTGAAGGTGATGCCGCCGCGGTGGCCCAGCCATGGCGGGTCGCAGCTGTAGAATGCTGAACCTGTAACACAATAGAATTGCAATTGTAACAAAGACCTGCATGGTCAGCACACATCTGCAGTGACTGTCATCCCAAGTTGGTATGAATTGGCACAAAGTTGGGTCATGGTAGCAGACGTAGCACAAGCTGTTGTGATATGCCATACCGTAGGACTAGGTCGTAGGTTGTAAATTTTAGGTTTAAGGCTGTAGGTTGTAGGTCAGGTTAGGTAAGGTTTGGTTAGAAAGACCCATTCTCGTGCATCGGGCAGCTTGTGCTACATCTACCTTACCAATACCCAATTTGAATTCCCAAAATTGATGGCAAACAGGCTTTTTGTATAACAAGTGTGGTTAATTGTTCTAATCCCCGCTGCAATGTGAGGGTAACTGCTTTTCTACAATCACAATATTTGAATTCATATAGGTAGGTGTTTACATGTTCAGAAAATGATACAAAATATGACACAATTATAGCTGCAACTGGATAGTGGATACCAACCTCAACTAAAAGTTTATGAAGCCTTACAACCTAACAAATGACTTAATTGCCAAAATAAATCCCTTAGTACAATAGCTTGACCCTAAAATAACAGAAATTTTGCATGCAGACCCTGAAATGGAGGGTTTAAGAAAAGTAACAAAAATAAACATTCACTAATATTGATATCAACATGTTGTTATAAATTTCATATGCAGCATAAGCGCCAATACTGCCTTCATTTACAATGTTGCTACTGTTTTCCACTCACAAACGCTGCCGTCCGTGGACAGCAGCAGCAGCAGTGAAACGTCACCCGTGGTGTGACATCATCACCCATGACGTAATGGAAATCCAGTTGTTACCAAGGCCCAATTTACTTCTATAATTGCTTTCTTCCCCCCACAATTGTCTGAATTCATAGGAACGTATTCTTTAGCTTGAGTGCATTACGCTCATGTACACATATTTTACTACAGGGCTGTTTTTACGTTGCTGATAGAGGCAAAAGCGAAAGAATTTTTTTTTTTTAATTTGACTCGAATTTGAAGGAAGTTTATAGTTTTAAAGTTTTTAGAACTTTGGCATCATGTAAAGCAAGAAGGTGAGTAAATATATCAAGACATAAACCGTACTATGAAGAATGATCGGGTAATAAAAATTACCACTTGAACATGCCTGAAAAGATTTTTTAATAGGCCGTTTTTGTTGCGTCATGAAATGCTATCAACCTTTGCTATCAATCTTTCACCTTTTTTACCAAAAATAATAATGTTAAAAGAAAGTAACCATAATTTTTCCGTAAAAATATTTTCGTTAATGTGTAAATGTTGCAGTTATGAAAACTATTGCAGATTGAAGGTGAAAAGCTCGAGTTATGCATTTCTAGTCTAAATTTTCATGACGTCACATGTTATCTTAGGACGCTATTCAATCTGATCCACAATTGTATAAAGCAAAACTTGCCAGCAGCAGAACAGTCTGTTGCGGTTCCGGAGCGCTGAGTGAGAAGTGGGTGGATGTGGGCTGAATGTTTTACTTTTGTATGAGTGCCACACTGCTTTGAATTTTATTAGGTACGTATTTCTGTGCATGAAGGGTATAACTTTAAGCATATTCTCCATTCCCTATATCATTCAAATCCTATGCTGCTTATTTCGGCATCACAATCCAAATCAGCATTTTCTGTCACATGAGCTCCATTGACCATTTGTAAAACCTCTTCTTTTATTATTATTATTTACCTACCATAAGTAAAAATCATCAGGTACCCTTCGAGTAATAAGACCCTTCACTAGAAAGGTGCACTGCCTCCTCCTCTTCTGATGGAGACGAGTTGGCTGTCATGCTCGTTGTGGCCATTATAGTTGGGCAAACTAGACTTTTGGAATCAAAATATGGAGGCATCAATAATTTGATTCTGGTGGGAGGAGCCATGACCAAATATGGGCATAGAATCAATTTTTTGATTCATTTGGGTACACTTTTGACTTCAAATGAATCGTTACGGTTGAAAAAAGGCCCATGACGGTGAGATTTTTCTTTTAAAAGGTAGAAAAATGTGGTAGGTTTGCAAAAAGTGTTACCTCAAAGCTAAGAAATTGTCCTTTTGGCCTTGTGAATGGGAAAAAGACAGAGCCACTGTCCATCACGTAAAAGCTGTTTTGAGGAAATCACACTGTATGTTATTTTTGTATCATGAATCACATACTAACCAATCAGTATTTGTGTAAAATGGCAAAATGAAATTTTTAAACCCCTAATTATCATTGTTGTAGTGCTTTTATATTATGTGTATGGTTTTTACCTGTTGCTTCAGTTTTTGTATTCTTGACATTTAAAAATTGTGAATTGTTATCAAATGTAGTGAAGGTAAAGTACAACAATGCTATAGGTATCAGTTGTGGTGCTGAGGATACCACTAAATGAGAATAATAGCAAGATAAGTGCTGTATTCTTGCAAGTAATTGTTGCCTATCTGTTAACATTACCTGTGAATCAAAATAATGATTAGCCAGCTGATGGGGAATCAATATTATGATTATCTGTTTAAAGTGAATCAATTCCTTGATTGCCTTTCACTACCTATAGAATTCAAATTGTTATGATAGGAGCAATATAATTTTGCTTAGGAGATAGTTCAAGCATTTCTGTTCAAGATCAGGCATGCTCCTTCTTGAAACACTCTCTTATTTTTATGTGATTGGTAAGTTAGAAATGGTCTGCATTTATGCCCAAAAGGAATCAATCTTTTGATGCCTCCATATTTTGATTCCAAAGGTCTAGTTTGCCCAACTGATTATGAGCGCTGTTCAGCGGCTGCCGGACAGCTAGTACTCTTGGTGGCGCACATATACATGCTCGTTGCCCTGGCAACGGGCTATTGATTAATAAGAAGCGTGCCCGGGGGGCACAGTTACATGAAAAATCGCAGTGACGTTGCACTTTCCAAACCTCTTATTGGTCAATAGCCCATTGCCGGGGCAACCGGCACATGTGAGCGCCGGCAAGAGTACTAGCTGGCTGCCGAACAGGGCCATGAATAGCTTTATGTCCAATACTGACGACCTTAGTAAAGCAGGTGCTTAGTTTTTATATTTATGAATTCATGTTACATGTGCCACCATGGCAACTATCCCAAATCAAAATAGGAAGTGTATCTACTGTGTAACTAGGTAGGTAGGTACCTACTACCTAACCTAGCATGCCTTGGGATTGGGATAACCAATATCCAACACCCATCAGTTAAGTGATATTCTGTTGACATGGCTTTGGCCCTTAACTTTTCAATATCTTAAAACAGTGTTAAATCATGCTGATCACATATATAACAGTTTTTTCAGTCATCTTAATCTCATGATGATTATGATCTCATGATTTTGACCAAATGCTGAGTGTGGTGCTCTTTTTAATAGGTACTTTAATGAGTGTTTCAATGGTGTCCAGCTGCATCTCAATCTGGCTATTTGTACCTTCTGAGCCAAGATTATGTTTAGAGCTATACTTCCATTGGTGCCCAGCCATTCTCGAGATCTGGAAGCACCCCCTGCACATGCGTACGTGCAGCAGCATCCTAACCGCAACACATGGGAACGCATTGCCTGGTGAGTGGTGGGTGCCTACCTGTATGCCAAATTTCAGCGAAATCGCCCCAGTAATTACCGAGTCATTGAAGTCGGAACAAATTTGGCACCTTTTCTTTTTGCATTTTTTTTTTACACGTGTAGTTGGTGTCACTCACATAGATTAAGAATATCCGACCTTTGGTAGAAGGGATGCAGCTACCCTACAAAAATTTCCTCAAAGCAATCGCCCGAGCGGCTGCTGAGATATGAGCCTCTCAAAATTACTGATTTTGCAAAACGGCTTGAACACCCTTGACTTTTCACGTGGCACGTGCCACGACGGTCACTGAGATGTATCAAAAGTAGTCAATTACGGGGTAGAAGGAATAAGACTACCCAACTAAAAAGACCGCAGGCCAATCAGCTCAGCGGTTGTTGAGATATAAGCCTCTCAAAAGCGTTACAGACCGGGCCGGGCCGCTCATACTGAGATTTTTCCGTTATATTGAAAAGACTTCGCTTCGCTTGCTGCGCTCGCTCGCTCGTAATAATCATAGAAGGGATCAGATCAGATATCATGGAACATCAGGTTACCAGCTCTCAGTAAATGGCTCTGTTGTACTCTGGGAATCGTAGCTGCAGAATACAGAACCGACTAGGGTTTTGAAACCCTTGTTGGTTCTGTTGACGGACTGTTGCGAGAAAATCACGTTATAACAGGACACGTATGTCGTTATAATGCCATAGATGTAATGTGAGAGACATCCTATAGTGAGCAGCGCACTTTCTCATCAGTTATACACATACTGGACGCTGCCCTGAATGGCAGCTTCAGATGTGCGTATTGACCGTGAGGTCGTTACGTCTGCGAAAATGTCGCCACTCTCCAAATTAGCTCTCGGCCGTTTTCCCGTTTGCCGGTACCGGAAGGCAGCAGAGGGGCTGTTTGCGGCGTCGGTGACCTCGAGCTGTTTGCGTTAGTCGTATGATGCAGATGGCGACCCACTTATCAGGCCAGCGCGCGCTCGCCGCAGGGCTCTGCAAAACCAGAGCGGTTTGACCTCGGCCGTGACGTCATCGCTCAACATCCGGTCTTGACGGCACGGAAGCAGCTGCAGTGAGCAAAAGGCGGATACAGACAGTACGCGGGTGATAAACGTCATATCCTGGCTGCAATGTGCAGGCTCAGTCGATGAAACGGATGAAACGAACTCCTTAGCTAGCACAACTTTGAAGCCTAGTTGTCGTCAAAAAAGAAGAAAAAAACTCAGCGACGTGTGAGCCGCGGTCTGGTGTCCGGCGTTGTGTCAGCTGCGGTCACCTCATGAACGGGATGGTGTCTTGCTGCGGTCACCTCATAACCGCTATGATGTCTGATGTTGTCCCCGGTGACCGCCGCTGGTCCCCCGCTCACGTGCTCCGTGTTCTGGAGTCTCGTGCCTTGCTGCCAACGGACAGGAGGCTTAATCAGACAGAAGATAACAAATGGATTAGCGCCGTTAAATTTAACGGAATGCTTACGTTCTAGCATAAATCTCTTAGTCTCGGCTGTTTTGTTCCAGTAACTCGACTTTTTCAGTAATTACAGCTGCATTTTCTTGTGTAGTTGGAATTGAAAGGATAACCTCTTCAGCCCTTTGAAGCCGTAGATACATTTTCTTCTGATCATCTGATCGTGTCTAAAATATAAAATGCTTATAAAGGGCCACACGAAATGAAAATAGCCATTGTTGCAGGAGGCAGGGCTATCAATCTGGGCTCTGACGCAGATAGCTGAGCTCACGTCCTACCGTTCCCACGTGAGGGGGAGGGAAGGGGGGGGGGGGCTTCGAGAAGGTCCGGCTTGAACGCCTACTCTCGACACCATCCGCGGTTTTAATCTATCTATTCGGCTGGAATTTTCCTTTATCGTCCTCATATAAATCGGTTGGGCACATGAATTCGTGATGGGCGTAACAGACAGATCGCACGATTGATCGATAACTTGAACATGATTTGGCGGTGAACCGTTGTCGTGATATGGATAAAACATGCAAATTATTCGTTCCGTTACCTTGTTCCAAGCACGAGTCTGTCTCGCAGTCTGTCATTGGCGCACGGACCGCTGACCACTGGCTATGACCGTGGGCTCTGTCATACCGACGGGCAGTGTGTGTACATCACTGTTTGTAGCTGTACCTACATGAAAGTACCTACCGCGCATCGGTGAGGTGGATCCATCAAGCCCGACCGAGGAAAAGCTACTAAATTTGAGAGTCGCTGAACCAATTGACATCCTCATCCATTCTACTGGTTAATTGGTTCAGTATCTCTGAAAGTTGGCAGCCCTTCCTCATTGGTGGATCCGCTGCACCGATGCGCAGTACTTTCAACTAGACTGACTGTACAGTATGTAGCTGGTGCTGGTGCTTTTGTTCTCGTCGACTGTAACGCTGTTCTGTGCCGGCAGGCGGCGATGAGCGTGCGGCCGGCTGGCGAGGGGGTCGCCGAGGAGGGCGGGGAAGCCGAGGGCGAGGAGCCCGGGGCGGCCGCGGCCGGCCCCTCACCCGCCGATGAGTCCTCCGACAGTGACGGCGAGACGGAGCCGGCGCGCTCCTTCCACCGCAAGATCTCCACCAACAAGGACATCAAGTGTTCGGTGAGTTGCCGACTCGGCGCACTGAGGGATGGCACTAGCTGCAGACCGGCAGTATTTCTATGCATGGTGTGATAATGGCCGTCACCGTGCATCAAACATCTCCAGATTGATGATAAAGACAGGAGGTGCAAAAAAACGCTCACCTCTGCCTGACAACAGCGCGAAATTCATGAGTGTTGTGAGGTGATTTGCTTCAAACGTGTGATATTCGATCATCCGTCTACAATTACCTGCCTTTAATACAGTGAAGAGTTTCGACTGTAAATACCCGTGCCTACAGGCATGAACGGGAAATATTCTGCCCTGTGGTAAGATGGTTGCCAATCGAGAAGTTATTATGTTTTTTCCTAAGCTGACGAGTACAGGCGAATGATCTTGAAGATAGTTGAAAGTTCCGATGCCCGATCACGCAGTCAACTCAATATTTTAGATCTTTATCACAGCTTTTCTACTTGGCGTTCAGAAACCTATGAAATGGGCGTTCGTCGTATTGCTCTCCACTTCTAGCTACGTATCGTACTATTTTCGATCTTTTTCCGGTTCTGCGCACCGCGCTGCCGCCCGCATCGTCCCTCTCCATCGACCCTGTGTGTGATGAGCACTGACACATGAGCCGGTATCTCCCCCCCCCCCACCCCGAACGACCTTGGCCCGGCCCGTTCGTGCAGTACCCCTCCCCCTCCCACCGCGGCCGGGACGCCTTGTCTGGCTGTCTATCGGGAACATCGTGTCACGCGCACCAATGCCGGTCGGTTTCCGGGACGATGATAACCCCGCGGTTCGTGGGATGTTTTACGTTCCCAGAGCCAAGCTGCTTGCCGGCTCAATGTTCGGCAAACTGCGGAGAGAATCACGGGTGCCGAATAGTTCCCTTGCTACGATGAACCTTCTTTTGATGTTAAGGGAAATTTGAAGAAATTTATTTGTCAGAGCGGACGCGATAGTCCTTTGTTTGTTAGTATGCCCGTCGTTGTTAACAGCGCCAGGAAGTAATTTTTTCGTCAGATGTCACCGTTGATAGCCTGGCACGTTTTTCCATGTTGCATTGTTCTGATCAGTTCTGATATCCCTCGAGCCCCGCTGTGAGCGATACTCTTTGTATGCCGTTATCAGATCCAAGCGGTGCGTCACTGGGGACCCCTCCCGTTGGGAAACACCGCAACAACACACTGCTAACCTATATATTGTTCGCACACAATGGGACACGTGACGTAGGTCTCGTTATAACTTCACACGTATCACTCCCAATCGTTTGATATGTATATTGACTAGTTTTGACGGTTTACATTACACTTTCATCACACACTGGATTGCTTTCACTGGATAGCCTAGGTGAACAAAGAACATGACTTTTACGGCAAAATTTCCTGACTAAGATGAATCAATCATAGACTCTGGACATTCATCGGCCCACGTCGGATATTGATGAAAGCCAGTGCGAGAAGTCAGTCCTTGAATCTTTGTAACACTAATCTATGGAACCTAAATGATTGAATAGCCTCAAGTCACTTTAAGCGTTCTGGGCACCATAGCGGTTTGCATTTTTACATTCCAAGTCCGTAGGCTTAGAATCGATAACATTGTTTTCCTGATGGGCGCCGATGTCCAGGCGTCCAAAACCCCCAATTCATCATCATCATCATCATCATCATCATCATCATCATCATCATCATCATCATCATCATCATCATCATCATCATCATCACCATCACCATCATCATCATCATCATCATCATCATCATCATCATCATCATCATCAGCATCGCCATCATCGTTTTCCTGAGTACATCCTACTGACGAATAGTCAGCTGAGTTTTCACCACGGGTCCTAGATAGGTCAACCTATCTCGCATTTTGTGTTGTTAGGATATTGATGAAAATTCGGTATGCTAGCAGGCATAGGTATACATCAGTTGAACAGGACGGTATAATTCATATCCACCCACCAACCACAGCCGCTCAGGCTCAACCCATGTTGCATAGTTCTCAGTCGCGAATTATAGGACGTTTACACTGTGTAGTTCGGGTTTTCTTCCGATTCATTTTTTTCATGTATTGGAAGCCGTCGGTGTTCTAGTAAGATGTATGTTTTGTGATGATTTGAACATCTCTTAGTTCTTACCTAGATCTTACCTAATTGTTACCTGCGTACCTTTTCAGGTGTGTACAAAAGAGGGGTACCTGATGAAACAGACGTCTTCATTTCAACGATGGAAACGGAGATATTTTAAACTCAAAGGCAATAAACTCTACTATGCAAAAGATACGAAGGTAAGAGCAGACCATGCGAGTCCGAAAATCAGTCGGCACGCGCCCATCCCGCTATAACTAAAAACGCGGCCGCCTAGTCGTAATGGGATGTATTTCAGACGAACGTAACTAAACGGGCAACGGGAATGTTGTAAGGGCGTCATCAGTGGGCGGTTCAGGATCTTACCATTATACCATGGACCATCATTCAAACCATATTCAATATGTTCGTGTAATTCGCTACATATTGCACTGACGACTCAGCGTTTTACGATATCTATTTTAGTGGCGTCCGATGTCCGGTTTTGTCCGTGTCCTTTCACACATCCGGTTGGCGGATGTGGTGATTGACGTGGTCGCTCGGCCCTCGCCGGCGGGTTACGTCGATGACTAACCGCTGCCGGATGACGGCGCACCGGGTACAGGTGTCAGCGGCGGCCGGCGACGGACGCTGACCCAACCCGCCGGCGTTTCAGTACGTCGTGTTCGACGAGATTGAACTCACGGACCTGAGCATCGCCGAGAGCAAGACGGGCGGCAGTCACTGTTTTCAGGTGAGACGCGCGGCAGTGATGCTGCCGATCAACTTACAAGTGCCATAGGAAAAGTTCTGCGCTGGCATGCTTTAGTTCTTACTCCTCAAAGTAACGCTTGACGTTAAGAACCGGAACATGCCTCGCACTTCGCAAGTTATCCATACTTGTGATCACCGTTTCTGACGTTGTCATTCACGTCAAAGTCACGCCACCAATTCTAGTTTTATGTCTCGTGTTCGCTCTGCGTGCGGCACCTCCGCCTTTTCTTCCAATCACGCACGCACGCTGCGTCGCGGAGCCAATCAGGCCGGCCGCGCCACCGGCGAATCGTCGGCTCCGACGACGGAGTCATCGTCGTCGCCGGCGGCGCTGGGTGCCGAGTGTGGTGGCGGCGGCGGTCGGCGCTGGACCGTCTGACCGCGCCGGTGTGCCCCCAGGTGATCACCGCCTTCCGGTGTCTGACGCTGCGGGCAGAGACTCGCCGGCAGATGGAGGAGTGGACGGCGGCGCTGAAGAGCGCCAGCAAACGACAGTTTTATGAGGTGAGTGGGCGGCCGGCCGGCCGGCCAGCTCTGTGTGTACTGGCGGCTCTGTGGGTACTGGCGGCTCCGTGTGTGTACTGAGGGGGTTTATGGATGCCGATGGAAATCAGAATACAAACGAGTGCATGAGCCGGGTCAGGATGTGTCCACAAGTGTGTTTGTATGGAATTTAGATGAGCTAGCCAGGCCTGGCTTGTTTGCTGTCACGTTTCGAAGAGTACGAAGAAATGACTGTAGGTATGGAATTGCATCGTTGTTACCGCATCATTTGCTTTTTCGATTGTTCATACTGTCACACCAAGACTGATAAGCATGAAAGAAGTAAATGTGTTTTATGAAAGGAAAACGGATCCTTAGACCGGATGGCTTTTCGATGATCCCGCATTTTGTTATGATATGTTTTGCTATGTTTTACGGAAGCAACTTAAACAAACGTTTTTAAATCTTCGAATTTTATAATATTCGGTCAAGGACTATTTTAGCTGTTTTTCTTTTTGTGTTCATCTTGCTTTATTTTACATCAGAATAATCAACGTAGGATGCCAACTCGTTTAATACGTTTTCAAAACTGGAAGAATAGCTTGCAATATTTCGGAAAACTGATGTTGCTTCGGGGACGAACTACGACTATGCTACCTGGAACATTCTGCAGGTGAATTATTTGTTGTAATCGAACCCTCTGCAGTCTGCACATAATCTCGTGCCCAAGAACCTCACGCCATGGTAACGGAGCTTACAGAGAAGACCAACGATGACTTTGATACCTCCTTCACGCTGAATCTTTGCATTAAATGTATGTTTCGATAGTTGGTGATTTCAAGTAAGCGCATGGTAAAAATGGCAACACTGTATGTATATAGTTATTAAAGAATATTTATATTAGCATTCATCGCAGAAACTATGTACAATGTGCAAGACAACGAGTCATGGCATACATTGTAAAGGCCCGAAGCTTTCATCGAAGTCAGTGTACTGATCGAAATCCTTAAATAGGCCCAGAATTTTAGAGTCGGGAAGTTTTTTTTTTAGCCACTGTTACGCATTGGAGCATTTGTCCTCCTAAATTCGTGCAGTGTGTTCAGAGCTGTTTCAAACTTCAGCTCAAAATAGAGATCACATTTGATACCATTGGCCGTGCTTTTTCGTCTATACCTACTGGAACAGTCTCTGTTGCCCGGTGAGTCGCTTCGATGCGGTTTTTAGTGGAGAAAATGGTCAGTGTCACTGGAACGGGCCCAAGTGGCATAAAGACTTTGCTTCAGTGACAGTTCAGATCCTGGAAGGCTATGGTTGTTAAGGCATCATTTTTTAAATTTGATATCAAGTTATTGTTTTTAGATACACGTTTGAAGCAGAAGCTAAAGCCAGATGTTAGCCTATTAGACATTAAAGGTTTCATTGATCTTTTTTTGCTATCGTCAATTGAAGCGTTCACCAATGCTACTCCCGGATGTCTGTTCGAGTTTACGGAGCTCTCTAATGACGAGGTGTCGTCTTTCTTCCGAGCACCGTCAGCTATCCGCTCTGATTATTCGCGTATCTCGCCGATCCGATCCCGGATGGTACTCGCTGGCGCGCCGTTCTTTATAGAGCCTTGGACGGTCAGTGGGACTGCCCCTCCGCGCGCCGTGGCGGCCACCCTAATTGAGCGTCGGGGGTGCGTGACGTCAGCTGGGCTAGTGCGACGATTGTTTTATTGTATTTCATCTTTTCGGACCTTGACAAGAACTTTTCGGAACGTGGACCGTGGCTGATCATTGGCGCGGGATAATGACTGATAGATGTCGACTCACACGCGGACCCCGGGATTATTGCGCAGCTCCGTAGAGTCCGTCCAGAACGGGCCGCGGTGTCGGGTCATATTACCGGTGATTGCCTAACATACCTGTCACACTACCGTCGTGGGTTTCGAATGGTCACCTGAGGAGGGTGTCCTCTAATACCTACATCTGCTGTCGCGGAAGGAAGTCACCGTGACGCCGATCGGTTCTAGGTCTAAATCGGCCCATCTCGCCCCTATTCCCAGCACAGGTCGGTGCACATCGGATTTGAGCCGCTGGCGAAGATCAAAGGATCGAGTCGATTCGCCGTGGCTTATACCGGGCCAAACCGGTATGCTTTAGAGTGATTTGGTACGCGAAACAACAAACAATGATTATTGCCTTTCTGCGATGCACTGGCGGAAACATATTGACGAATACCGGAAGAATAATATGTGCTAATAAGTAATGCAAAAAATCTAGTATTGTGCCAACTTTTTGCCGTTGTGCTGCCGGCCAATCATATCGCATACGCATATCGCATGTATGTAGGATACGAATCTAACATAACTGAATTGAGCATCGAACACCATCGGAAATTTTCCAATATTTCTGTTCGAATTGGTCACGCTGATATCCGTGTCCCCGATATCCATTATTGCAATTGGATTGTGACAGTAGATTTGGCTATACCCAGGGGGCAGGATCACACTGCACGCGGCTCGTGCGTGAAAGGTCGCCCGTGTGACTACCGCTTACCGCTGGCCTCTTTACGAACGATCCGCTTAGCTCAACCCCTCCGCCCCTCACCAGTTTCGAACCATTTGAGGTCGGATCATGCGAGGCAATAGCGTGTGTCTGTGACCGAAATAGCCCAAACGGTCTCAGTTCGTGCCCGAAAAAGACGGTTCGGTGCACTCTGACATAGACGAGTGCTTGCCGGTCGGCTTACACACACACTTTGGGTGAAACGACTTGTGTTTGAGGACCGTTTTTAACTCAGTGCGGGCCGGTTGAGGAGCGTAGGGGTGAACACTAGCTATGGGTGAACCCACCTGGCTCCCCAGACCGGACTGTTGGACTGTTGCATGTAGATAACATTGTGTAGTATGACTTACAATACATGCGATATGCATGTAATACATGCAATATACTATGTGACTTTGACGGGAATGTGACGACGATGAAGACTATGAGACCACTGGGACTGAACGGCTGTGTCTCCCTGTTCGCAGGGCATGGACCATCTTCACTCGCTGCTGTCGGGCCAGCACAACTGGCATGTCATGTCACACGCCCGGCCGACCTATTGCAACGTCTGCAGAGAGGCGCTATCAGGTCAGTCTGCGGAGCTTGTTCTCATGTTTGATATTCTTGTAAATTATGCTGTTCTGTCGCATACCGTCCGTGCTGGACTGAGTCTAAATAATGCTAAGGCTTTTGTCGGCTTAGGGAGATTCCCTTTCGTTGACTCAGCCTACGTGGAAAAGGAAAATGTTTGGTCCAGGTAGGCAGTGCAGCTCATTTGCAGCTGCCTGACGATGGTGCTTGTTCGTGGTTTGGCCGATCCGGTACGATTACAGTCCCAGGGACACAGGATCCCCGTCCGTACACTCACAGAACGATGCCCAATGCTCATGGGTCCGGCGGCGGCCACGCACCCGTTGACGGTACGACCAAGGCTATAGAACTCCGGTACAACATTGGAGCGAGGGCGACACCCGCAGCACGCGCCACATCGGTCGTCGCTTATGACTGGGCACACGGTCACCGGGGCCGGTCAGGGTGTAGGTTACATTACACACAGTGGCGGTCAGTGGGGCAGGGCAGGGCGGCGGGCGCGGATATCCGCCCGGTCGCGGGGCCAGCTCCGGGTTCCGCCCCTGGGTTATCCCCGCTACGTCACCGCGCAGCCCCGCCCTCTCTGCTGCCGGTGAGAGCTGCACCGTGCCTGTCCCCCTCCCGTGGCCTTCAGTCTCCCCCGCACCGACTGACCCCCGGAGCCGGATCCCCGCGCTGCCCTAACGGCGGCCCGGAGTGCTCCTCTACTCCCGCCCCCGGCTCGTCCCGCCGACTGAGGTCGGAGGTTACTGCCCCAGGGCCAACAACTGCTCTGTGATGGCCGGCCGTTAAAATTTCCTCGGCGCGACACACGGCCGGAAATCCGCAGACATGAAGCCACTCAGGGGATTTCCGGTTTATGACGCCGGCGACGTGACTGGAAGATAATGTAGTGCCGCCGCACAGTCATCAACGGGCGGCACCGGTCTGAGAGACCGCTGGAAACCTACAGACACACGGCGAGCGGTGTCGGCACCGCTAATTTTTAGAATTACGATAACTCAAAACTGGTTAATTTATGAATAAGATTCCTCATAAAAGCTGACGTATGAACTTATGAGATTAGTGGCACCGGGACATAGTTCTTCGATTGAGGTATGAAGTATGTGTCCTTGTTTTTTTTTTTCTGATTCACATCTTTTTATCGGGCACGTACTTCCTGTTATCTCACGTCCTTTCTACCAATTCATTCCACTTTCGGTCTCTTCGTCTGATCCTCCGCGATTTTCCTGTTCTCCTCTAAGTCGGGTGCTTATCCGGTCTTCCGCCATTCCTTATTTTCCTTGTCCCTTCCTTTTCCTCCTTCCATTTGTCACCGTCGTCCTTCCGCCTCCCGACAGCAGGGAGCCAATATTCCGCCGCGCCAGCTCATCCGGCGTGTGTACCTTGTTACCGTGTGGCTGCCACCGGCAGACAGACCGGCTCGCACCGGTCCGGCGCGGCGCTGGGTACTCCCCACCCCAGCACGGCCCCCGACCCGACCCACGGCCGACGACCCCGCCGATACGCTCCCTAATGAGCAGAAATTGGTGGTACCGCGCTACCACCGCGGCTGGCCAATAATAGGAGCAGAGGCGGCGCTGTGCAGACGCTGACTCGGCGAACGGCGCGGTCTGGGTGTAGGAGGCAGATATAGGAGGATGGCAGCATTGTGCTGTGTTTCACCTAGGAACAATGCCGGTGTGGTCGGATGGAGCGCATGCTGACTGATCCGGGACCTTAAATCGGTCGGGGCGCGGCCTTTCTGCGGATTAACGACGGGCATTGCATCTGTCGAATATGGATGCACTATTGTTACTGATGAAACGTTAATTGGTCGATGTCGTGTCTTCATTTGTCGTGTTTCTATGTTTCTCTTTCTCTGTTTACCGTCACCACTGCAGTGGTGAGAGTAAAACAGACCGGTGCGCTGACCTGTTTGGTCTGTGTGCATCACAGGCCAATTCACTTGCCTGCGTTCCACCCACGTCATCATCCTACTTGTCCTCGGTTTATTATCCCGGCGCTTTCTAACCATCCGTTGTTTACGTTGCTGTCCGTTGCAGGGGTGACCTCACACGGACTCAGCTGTGAGGTCTGCAAGTTCAAGTGTCACAAACGCTGCGCGGCGCACGAGTCGACGCCGTGCAAGTGGACCACTCTGGCCAGTGTCGGGAGGAACATCATCGAGGAGGAGGATGGGGTGAGTGCCGACGGGACGGGACACATTATAGGCGGCGACGCCGTGTTGTCGGAAGTTTTACCCGTTTATTTCGTATGGTTAAAAATGTTTAGTTTAAGCTGCTTCTCAACCATTTTATGGAAGGTTATGTTTGACAACTCGTCCGTTATGGCATGAATGTGTGAAGAACATGACTATATTGACTATATCTTCGGAACATTTCTCAAGACCACCGCAAAACCCGCAGCGCACGAGCATCGGTCGCAGTAGACTGGCGACCAGTGACAATGATTTATACGGTGTCTGTGGTCGGCCACCATAAGCCAGCAGTCCCCGGAGAACTCTGATGCTTTCTCCGCACCATTACTGCTGTGTTTACTCCGTGTTGCTGTAACCCTCTGTCTGTCCCCGGGGGTGTCTGTCCTCCCTAAAGGTCTGTCTGACACGGACTCTCCCTCCTACCGCCAGACGCTGTCAATGCCGCACCAGTGGCTGGAGGGAAACCTGTCCGTGTCCGCCCGCTGCATGGTGTGCGACAGGACCTGTGGCTCCGTACTCAGGTGAGAACTATAACTATCAGGGTTCTCACGGGCGGGTATCATCTCCCGACGACAGAACTTGTAGCTCCGTAATTGGATGAGGAAGAACAGGGTTCTCGGGGAAACATTGCTTTCGGGCTCAGAACCTGTGGCTCCGTGCTCGAGTGAGAATTTTCCACTGTCCAGCCAATAGCCAGCGCCGGTCAAACTCCCAAAACCGTGAACCACCGCTCACTTTTTCATTTTTGGGACACCAACGCCAGCAGTGCTCTATTCCCGGAGGGGGTCGGCTTTCCTAGAGTTCTGATGTGACCGTCTCTATCTGCTCCTCGATCTATCGGGATGATCTAGAGGCCACGGCCAGTCCCTATCCCCGGTCTCTCGGGGTTGATGGTTTTAGGGCAGGCCACGGCCGGCCCTTTACTCCCCCTCCTCCTGAACCTCTCAGGATAATCTCTCAGGTCACGGCGGGCCCCTGTTCCCAGACTATCGGGGTGGTATCTCTCAGGCCACGGGGGCCCCTATTTCCCCCGCTCCCTGGTCTCTGGAGATTGAGGGCGTCGGACCCGGTTACCGGCGTGTCAGTCCATACACCACTGCGTAATCGATGACGTACTGCAGCGGCCACCGGCGCCACAGGCAATCATTGCCAACGAGATGGATCGCTCCATGGCACCGTGAGAGTATCCCAGGTTATGTATTTTGCTGAGGTGATGTTACTGAAATTAAGGATGAAATGCTGGTATACATTACCCTAATGTTCCTTATTCGTCCATCGAAAGTAAAGAAAATGCATCAATTTTTGTACGGTACTAGATCAGATTTTGATTTGCATGCATAATGCATATTGAGAAGGAAATTCGGGCGATAGATATTCAAAACATTTTCGTGTATGTTAAGCGACATTTTTTTTTCACAGTGACACTTATGAAAGCATTGATTAGTTATCTGCCTGTCCCCGCTTCCAAGAGAACACATCCCCCCGTTTGTCCAACACCCCGTCTGTAAACTGCACTAACGACTCTGGCTGCCGACGTGCTGCCCCGGCCCCGTCTGAACACACTGAACAGAGCTGCTGTCCTGATTGGTGCACTGACCGTCTGTCGTCTGAGGGGGATCGTGTTACCGCGGAGGGGCTGAACACAGTGTGGGGAGGGGTGGCCAGGCCTGAACACTGCCCACTCGCCGTAACAGCCGTCCGGCGTGACGTGCCCGCCGTAACAGCGACTGGGTGCGGGGGGCCAGACGATCTGAGATCGGTAGGATCGGTCGGGACGCGGGGTGACGGCAGCGGTGCTGGGCTCAGGTCACGCAATGTCTAATACTACCGACCGGTCAGTGGTCGTGTGTCAAACTATGCCGCGAATAGTCAGCGTGGGGCGTCCCTTACTCGTACATTGTCACTGTGACTGATATAAATGCTGGCTCTACTTTGGTTGAATGATTTTAGTTGACGTTACGAGTAATTGTAGTCTGATGACCCGGCCTCATGCTAAGGTTTCGCAGGAAATGATTTTTACCGTCTACATAGCCTCGATTGTTTTTAGACTGTTCTAGAATAGCGTGCCGTAACTTACGGATACATGAGCTACTGTTGAGCGACGTCCCTGCGCTTTATACACGGTCCTGAGACCGCTCGCCGCCCGCGGACCGTCCCACGTGGACGGACGTGTGCACTGTGCAGTGTGCACTCAGCATTGCGCACAGTGCAGTTGTGCGCCCATGCAGTCAACTGGTGTCGCTGGCCGGATGTGAGATAGGCTCGGGTCACCGGAGCACAGTGTCCGGCATAGTTGGTTTGACTTCTGTGACCGTGTTTAGTCCAGAGTTCAGCGATACACTGGCCTGGGGAAGGCCAACAGAAAAGTAGTGGAATTACATACTCGGATCAAAAGCGCAAAGATGAAAAGGAATAAGCATTACAGCGGCTACCAGCTGCTGCTGTTTTATATGTGAATGTTTAATGCGACGGGACAAAAACGTCGGCAATTGCGCTATGTTCTCAGATCTGTTCTGGTTTTATGTCTGGACGGAGCAGATAATCTTGCCACATCTCAATTTCTAAGAAACAGCGCCGCAGCGGAAATGTTTTTCCTCCATCGTCATTATTTTTTAGATATGGGTACGACGAGATAGGCGCGTCTTTGTTTACAGTATCACTGTTCTGGTTTCGAACAGGATCCGCTCCTGCAGCTGCACACGCTGGTCGGCCGGGTCGGCTGCGTGTCCGATTGCCCCCGCCCCGCGGACACACCCCGCGGCGCTGGCCCGTCCATTAGGGCCGGTGACCCGACCCCATTGGCCCAGTTCTGCCGGGCCGTCCATTCGGTCAGAGTGCTCGTACAGTCTGTCTTAAAAGTACCACGCAAAGTGACGGTGGATCCATCAAGCCTGACTGAGGTAGGGCCTACTATAATTTGAAAGTCACCGAACCAATTGACCTAGGGAATGGACGAGGATGTGAATTGCTTCAGTGATTCAAATTTAGTAGGCCCTTCCTCGGTCAGGCATGATGGATCCACCATCACTTTGCGCGGTACTTTTAAGACAGACTGTACGCGGCTGGATGGACGTGTTGGTGGGCTACCGAGAGAGGGTCCGCTACACCAGACTGGGCGGCTCGGCTAGTTGGGGTGTGTGAAGTGCCGGTATACAGCCGGGTTCAGTGTCCGGAGCGGTCGGACGCTCTGATTAGAGCCAGTAAAGGGCCTAGAGTGAAACAGGTAGCTGCACTAAGGCTTTGGCCGCTCACGCGTTGTCTGTATCTGGCGGGTTCAAGGGGCGGGCTGAAAGTGCGGACTCGGTGAACTTACCACTGATCCACGCCCCGCCACTTGTTGCGGTCGACCGTGGCGGGGACGACTGCCAACTGGCGGCCTTGGGCCTGACCTCCGGCACATGGGAAGACCTGATCGATCCCCGGTCCCCGGCCCGGGCCGGGTCGACCTCCTCTTCTCCTGCTGTGCCTCTGCACCGTCCCACGCCCTCTGCCTCCGCCGCGGGCCGACATCAGATCAATGGCAATGTGCGCTCCACTGCCCTGTATGTTTTGTGTTTATTTGTCGCATTTTCATTTGCTTATAAAATCATTTTATTCGTAGGCACACTCATAATGCGCCACTAAACGCATAGTTTTTACGTGCAACACATTATATTGTATGTGCCTACTGCACGTCACATCCGTACCTATATGTAGATTTTCCTCTTGCCATACATAAATCACGCGTATTGGCGGCTTCTCAACACCTTGTTATTTATGATTATCTCTTCCTTTCCCTCTGCCTCTACCTCTCTCGCTCTTACCCTCTCCCCTCCCCCTCCCTCTCCCTCTCCTGCCTGTCGTTGATGAGGTGTTGTCCAATGGACCGAGCGGTCTGCCGCCCCCGAGCAGCTAACGACCTGCTCTGGGCCTCTGTCGGTGCTGCCGCGACCGCCTCCCGCCCGACACAGACACCCCTGTGTGCAGTGGGCTGAATAAGAGGCGCTCGTCGCCAGGGCCCCGGCACGGCGCTCGTGTGCCAGTGTCAGCACCAGGAGCTCATTGTCGCGCTCAGGTGTGAAATGCCGGTTACCGCGGTGCGAGGGATGATTCGTCAGCCAGGTGCGGCTCGATGCGGCTGTATTGCGCACCAAGTGGAGGGCTTTACCTGGACCCGCTATTCATTAGCTCGGCGATCGCGATGCGCCGCTAATCTCCGGTGACGGCTGGGTGCGGTAAGCCGTCGCATCGAACTATGTATGCTAACTGATGCGCGATTGCTGCGTGCGACTCACATGCAGTTTCACGAATATTCTACACTAAGAATCATTAGACTTTGGAACACTAGAAACCGGCACCTCGTCTGATCGCACATGTTTCCGGTGAGGGTCTTAGCTAAGCTGAGATTCAATCACCCTTGTAACGAGACGGGACCGCCGGTCTGTGCACAGATGTGAGGACTCGTGACGGGCGGTCCCTGAGACTCGTTATAAGATTGGGATTGATTTATAAGATTTGGCAGTGTGCCTTACTCCACTGTACTCAAAGACAGAGATCTCCTGTTGGCTGTTGCATATGGATTGACCGTCCGTCTGCGCTGTAGCCCCATGTCACTGTCAAGCGTCACGTCTTCCCATGTTTGGTTGTGTGTTCTGTCGTCTGCTCTGTTGTCTCCTGCGGCCGATGTGCTCCCGCCGTCCTATGGCGCTCGCACAATTGCCGAGTAAGTTTCTGTGTGCTTCAGGCTTCATGACTGAATGCTGAATAGTGCTGTCTGTTGAAGTTGTCCGGAGCTGACAGACGTGCCGTTGTGTTTCAGGCTGCAGGACTGGCGGTGTCTCTGGTGTAAGGGCACCGTGCACGCGGCCTGCCGAGCCACCGTGCCGGCGCTCTGTCCTCTCGGAGTCTGCAAGGTGTCTGTGGTGCCGCCGATCGCGCTACACAGCATAGGTGAGTCCCAGCCATCGTCTTTCTCTTCTCAAAATAGGTTACTGCTAACCAGCAACCTGCTGCTCTGTAAAACATCCGTTTGTCATAATTTACCGTGGGACTGTCCGTATTTTGGTATTTCAGGGAGAACGTATTTTTTTTTCGTGTCGATGTTTTCCTGCGGTGTGTGATTTATGGTGAATGATAAGGACGGCGGCGTGATTGCTCCCATTTGTCGGGGTCCATTGTCGGCCGCCGGTGTTGACAGAGGACCGCTCACCGGAGCGCGGTGATTGGCGACAGCTGACGTCAGCCACCTGATCTGATTGAGGCGATTGGTGGTGCCTGGACGCATACCGAGCGCAGTGGTTGGTGGGTGGGTGGGCCACCGTTTGGTCGGACCGCGGGAACGGGCTGTACTGGCGCTCTCAGACGTGTCGCCAGTCTCTCAGGCAATTTTGTCCGTCCTTGGTCGGTGGAGTTCCCATCCCGAGCATTTTATTCACTTTCGCTGACCACTCGCCCATCATAAACAATCCAAAACACACCACTGGACAAACATCAGCACTCACATTCTCATACTTATTCCCATACGTGGTGTACGCCACTTCCCGTCCTCTATGTTCCAGTCACATCCCAGTTTTTCAGCTACATAAACTACATTTCGAGGCCGACACTGGTCACCAGTCTCCTCACAAGTGACTGCGTCGGGTCGGACAGCGTATCGCTCAGCTAGGTCGCTGTGACCGCGGCACTCGGTCGATGGCCTGCCCCGTCCCGCCGCACTTTACCGATCGCGCTGCCGGCGCCCGAGGGTTCCCCTGGGACGGCACACGTGGTCCCACTGCTATAGCGGAGAAAGGCCGAACGAAACTCAGTTATCGAGGGCCGATACAGCGCTAGTAGAGGCGGACGGAACGCCGGGAGACACGCGCAGTAGTATCTGACGAATGGTTCCACCCACTATGGTGTAGTTCCTGACGAATGGCTCACACTCGCTACAGGATGTGTTGAAAGTGAAGTGCCGACGGGTGACACGTGGTATTTCGTCAGTCCCGGGTATGATGTGTTGCGTATATGCGTGGGAAGATGTTGAAAAAAAAACGTTCAGAGATCCCGGTGTTTACCGGTGATATTGCTTCAAATGAAGTGAAGCTCTCGTTTCCATCATTACGAGTTATATGCAGAACACATGCAATGCTATTTCAAAGAGTGATAGGACAGCACTAGATCAGCCGATAAGGGAATGGGCTCACATTTGAGTAACTGATGGGGCCACCGGCCATGCGGGCTTCATCTGCTAAGTACGTACAGTCACCAGCAGTTGCTACCCATCACCCCCGGACGGCGGGGGAGCAAGCTACCACCGCCCCTGCGAGACTAGCGCCGCCATGCGCCAAGAAGTGGAAACACCACGTGACTGAGGCCACGTGAGGGCAGGGTCACGTGATGGAGGGGCGGAGCATAGTAGCTTTTGCACCCGACACTAACTGAAATGCGGCGCTGTGATTGGGCGCCTTAGCATGAATGAAGCCCCGGCGCCAGAATCAGCCGTTCGCCTTATATGGAAAGTGAGCCTTTGCGTTTCACTGTTCTGTATTGGTTTGAGAGTCACGGCACCATACGAATTGTGAGCCCCTTTGAACGGGTCACCGCCCGAGGCACTGAGGCGACGGCTGTGCCGGGCAAAGTCTAGCCTGGTGGGAGAGGTGGGCCAGGGAAAGTGCGATCGAGCAGCCACTGGGACGTGGATT